ATGCATCCAGTGAAGTGAGCTGTAGCTCATGAAAACTTATGCTCAAATAAATTTGTTAGTCTCTAAGGTGCCACAAGTACTCCTTTTCTTTTAGCTGCACTGATGTTAGCCAAGTTGGGATCTCCAGCATAGATGTCTCTCTAGCTCAAGCAGCCATTTTCAGCACCACCTGGCCAGTTAGACTTGCAGGGCTGCTTGACATAATGCTGAAAATAGCTGCTGGAGAGAGATCTCCATTAGGGCTCCTCCCAACACTGGCACATCTGGGCAGGTGTTTACAAAAACTTCTGTAACCCTTCTGCCCGTCAGAGTTGGCAGCAACAAGGGCCGGGTTCAATATCTAGGGGATCCATTCCAATAACACAATGCAAACCGGCTCGAGCCCCCACCCAGTGACCTGGGACAAATATATACCACCCCCGCTGGGCGCCTCCAAGAGGCAATACTTCCCCTCTCGCAAGCACATAGTCTGAGTGTAGCAAAAGCCTTTTAATAACAGAGAGAAACAATGTGGCATTATGTTGGGGAAACACCACCAACAGGATTCATAACACAACCCATGAGCAAAAAAAAAACCCACCCCAAGCAAATTGGGGCATGCCCTTTTCCCTTTGGTTCTTGAGTCCAGCAACCCCAAATCACCCAAAGTCCCAAAAGTCCAATGCCCCAAAAGTCTCTGTCCCTGGTCAGGGCAGCCCCAGAGTTCGAAAGTTTATCTGCGGAGCTTTACCTCCCAACCTGGATGGAAATGGGACGGGGGTAAGAGGCACCTTACATGATCTGAAGCTGACCGCCCATAGCTCCATAGCGGCGCTCCGCTCCGCCAGCCGCCCCACGAACTCCTTCGCTCACCTGCGCTCCGCTCCGCCAGCCGCCCCACGAACTCCTTCGCTCAGCTCCACGGCCCACAAGCAGCTCCTGCCATCCACAAACTGCTCCGCGTCGAACTGCTTCACCAGCCGGTCCGCAAGGCACTCCAGCCGTCCCGCAAACTGCTCCACAATATATCTTCAGGCTCCCCCACTACTTAACACAACACTCAGTGATTTCAGCTCTTAGGTAAATTCAGCTTGTAGTAGGGGAGCCCCAGTGCTGGTGCATTGTCAGCCCAAAGTGAGCTCAGCAGCCTATAACTAGACTTCTAATTAAATCAAAATTAGCTCTGATATTCCACAGTGGAGAGAGGAGGAAGTGCAATTAGCATGTAAGGCCCTCACCAAGGGGCCCATGCCACCAAGTATTAATACTTGTCCCCAGCCTCTCTCCCTTCACACAGTTTTGGAACCCATGACCCTTGCCTAGCGAGTGCTACTTAGTTGATGGTGAATCCCTCCATCATAACAAAAGGCCACGTACAGTTCCAAGCACAGTTCCCATAATCAGGGTAATAATTTATTCTTCCTGCCCCAATAACAGAGACACTGGGGATCCCACAGCAGCCAAAGTGACCATTTGGGCAGCTATGGTCTCATTCTAGGCGTGGTGGGTGTGCCTATACAAATGAGATCGGCCCCTGAAGTTCTTTTCTACAACTTGCCACACCTCACCACCAGATGTCAGGGTGGAGCTCATCCTGACACTGCTTACACTTCACTGGTAAGATTCCTATAGTAGACAAAACCATAAAGTCTGATTTAGCTACCTAACTCATAGTACTCCCATTGCTGACTCCTGCTAAATGTGACTTCCCAGCACACATTTGCTGTGTGTGTTGGTGAGATCACATTTACCCCAGAAACTCTGCTGCAGCATGAAAGGCATCACATTGGATCACATATCTCCTTATTCCTTTTTTAAAGTTATTTTTTGTTTACAAAAGAAATCTTCAAAACCCAAAAATGAAATTTTAACCGTAAACCATACAAGAAGATGAGCCACATAGTAGTACTAAAATCAATCTCTTTAACCCATTCATCCCCAATTGTTTTTACTATCACATGCAAAACACCACAGAAGTGGCTCTTATGATTAAAGGATTGATCAATCTATTTTCCTCGTGCCAGGAATCCCCACCCTGCAAGAGTTAGCTAGTGGGGCTGATGAGGTAGTCTTTATTCAACAATTAGTCCCAGCGAAGTCAGCAAGAATACTTAAATTGAGTAAGAGTTGCAGAATCTGGCAATGCCTTTTCTCCTTGAGTTAAAAAGGAATCTCCCATTACCAGCATGAATACCCTTCTAGCACAGGGTCTGTTCTCTAGTCCCTTGTTCCAGGAAGCATGCCAGACAAGAAGTCTGACCCTGGGAGAAAGCCTTAGGAGCTCTGCTCCACAATTGGAAGCCGGGAGTGAACTCTGATGAGACCGACCTGGATTGGATGTATGTGGGATCCAAAGGTTGGGTCCAGTTAACAGTCTAGTGACTGTTCATGAGGAGGACTCAGCCAGGACTATGATAACACTGTCACACAGACTCACACTTTGTTTTTATTGGAATGAAGGCAGTGTAGAGCCTTTGAAGAAAAGCTCTATTAATAGTTTTTTGTGATGGAGATTTTTTTAGGGGCAGCTGTTGCAAACAGCAAAAGAGTTTGCTCTTAATTTCTCCATCTACTGCCTGCATGCTGTTTGTTCCCTGTTCCAAGACTGGTGTATATAGTTTATTTACACTAAAAAAAATAAAATAAAAAAAATCCAGACTTACTGATTTCTCCTCCAGTGAAAAGCCAGCCTGCAAGGCTCTGTCATGTATATCTCAGTAGAAGGCAACAATATTTTTGTTATATTCAAACAATACTAATCATGACTTTCAACCTGCTTTAGTAAATACATTTTGGCATAAACAACAAAAAATATAAACAGCAAAACTTGAAACAAAATTAAAGGGTTATATTTTGTGAATTGTTCCAAAGTTAGAAGCCCTTACTGCCACAAGCAGACAGAGCATCTCAGCTCATCTCAGTTGCCCAATGGAGTACAGAAATAAAATTATGAAAGAGGATGGGGATTTGGGAGAAAATGCAGACACACAAACACCAACTCCCTTCTGACATGCCATTCTCACTGTTCACCAGTACATTGCTCCAAGGATGGTAACAGCAGAGAGTGAAGTGAAGGAGCTGCATCTGTCACAATCCTACCATTCAACAATAAGCTATTCATGGGTGAGCACCAGAGGGAGATGGGAGGAGAGCAAAACCCTGGTTCTGATCCAAAGCCTAATGAAGTCCATGGAAAAACTCCCATTAGTCATTTTGAGAGAGTATGCCAGCTCAACTTCTTACTCAGTGTAGATAGCATTTTTAATCTGAAGAACTGAGAGCCACAGGGCAACTATATATTTCCTCTTAGTGGTTCAGCATAGGCACCACTCTCTGGCTTCTGAGCCATTGCCTTTTCTCTCTCCCTCCTGACTGGGCTATCTCCAGCCTGAACAGTTGCCTGCCTTCTGTGTTAGTCCCAGCAAAAGACAGTCTGCCTAAACAGGCCTGTTTACTTTCTCTTCAGAAGCTAACAACAGAGTAGAATCTCAGAGTAACAAACACCTCAAGAATGGAGTTTGTTCATAACTCTGAACAAAATGTTATGGTGGTTCTTTCAAAAGTTTACAACTGAACATTGTCTTAGCAAAGTTTCAAAGCTATATTATGTAGAAGAAAAATGGTGTTTTTACCCATCCTCATTTCAATGAAACGAGCACAGAAACAGTTCCCTTACCTTGTCAATTTTTTTAAACTTTCCCTTATTATTTTAGTAGTTTGTGTTTAACACAGTACTGTACTAGATTTGCCTTTTTTTTTTTTTTTTGCATGATGTGTGTATGTGTCTGCTGCTGCCTGATTGTGTACTTCTGGTTCCAAATGAGGTGGGTGGTTGACTAGTCAATTTATAAGACTAGGTCTACACTACAGCCAACATCAGTGCTCTGAGATCAGTCCATCAGCCGTCGATTTAGAGAGTCTAGTGAACACCCATCAAATCGACAGCAGATCACTCTCCAGTGAACCCCTGTACTCTATCCCAGATAAGAAGAGTAAGGCAAGTTGATAGGAGAGTTATTCACGTAGCTGGAGTTGAATAGCATAGGTTGACTTACTGCAGTAGTGTAGACATAGCCAAACTCTGGTGTTTGTAATTCTGAGGTTCTACTGTAATTGCCAACAGTTAAGTTACCACAGTTGTTTCTATGCAAGCATATTTTATTCTTAAACTAAAAGCGCTACAGAGAAAACATATTCAAATCAATTAAAGAATCTACACACATGCTAAGAAGCTTACCAGAGATCACCTCCCAACACCCATTTCCACAAAGGTTCTGGCCAGCGTCAGTCCTCCCAACGTTTCCCTGAGTATGAGGCTCTCCATAGACCAGAGGTCCTACCTGTCTGCTGGATCAGAATGAAGGCCTGGTTGTAAACTGAGCCACAGAGAGACTGTGGTATGTCTAAGGTCAAAGAAAAGTTAATGGCATGTGAAGGAGAACAAGGATGGTAGAACCAGGAGGGCAATGGGGGCTAATGCCCCCACAATAGAAATACTGTCAGAGCTAATTTATGTTTGCAGCTTGGCTTTCCCATCCTGTCTGGCTCCACCCCACACTCCCCAGCTCCATTTACTGCCTCTCCATTGGCTGATTAGCTCTCAACTTCCAAACAATCAGGTTATGGCCAGCATCCCTAGCAGTGGGTGGGGGCAGGGTATCTTTCCGCACTCTGCTATTCAAGGTGCATGGCTGCTGCTTCTGGTGGAGAACTCAAGAATCCTAAAGCTTATTCCCATGTTCTAAACACTAGCTCACACACTGCAAACTACTGGCCTTTATATTTACTTTAAAATATATATATATATAAGTAGCTAATGTTTCTCACAGTGGATTCAGAAGTGTAAACAGATGAATAAAGTTGTTATAGTAACATGAATAAATGTGGCTTAGACTTATTTACAAAACACTTTGCAGATGGCAATAAACAAACATTTCAGTTTAACAGCTGCCAAGGATCCTTGTTTGATGACTCTCAGTGCTTTAATCAGTAGCACTTTGACTAAGCAAAGTTACTAGCTTGCAGGGACAGTGGGTATGATGGTAGAAGTATGATTAGCTTGGATCCTGTATGTACATGTTTGAAACTTGTTCACACTTGCCTTAATCAATATGTGGTTTGTTGGTTTCACTAAACACATGGAGGGAGGGATTTTCCCCCCTAATTCAGCTGAGCTAGAGAAACACATTCATGACATTGTATCTCAGGGTCACTGCTGTCTGTTACGGCAGGGCTTTTTCTGGCAGGCATTTGTTTTGAAGAGAAGAAACTCTTTGCATTTAGGCTGGATATTTGTAGTCTTCTCTGGCTTGTTGTGGTATGGATTTTGCTTTTTTGTTTTTGTCTTTTGTCATTAATTGTGGATATGAACTTGGCAAGGCATGTGTTTTGTTAGCTCAGGAAGGTCTCCTAGCAGTTTTTAGCAGCGTTTTACAAGATGAGGATTTTCATAGCTTTTGAAGGATTTTGTGAAGCTTTTGACATTTCATCAGACCAAACTGTGCAAGCTGTAAAACTGATGATAAAGGTAGGTGCTTAACTAATTATCAAGCTAATTATTTTAAATTTTGATATGTTTAACTTATGGTTTAAATACATGTATAATATAAATGTTACTGCATAGTATTCCCTATTCTAATGTAAGGGAGTTCATTTTATAGATCTTCTGGCTGTCTATCCCTGATTTCTGCATAAGGCTTCTGAGACTCTTACTGCCTGATTTTCAGATTTAGCCAAGCACTGCTTGTTGCAATATGAAAGATGGGGGCAGTAGGCAAAGCTGCTGTTATACTACCAATATAATAGACAGGCTGCTGGTGAAAGTTAGAGCATTCTCGGGGCTACTTTAACTTGCATTTGGCGGCCAGCAGCCAACCCCAAGGGGCATTTCACACAAGTGAGAATCCTCAAGAGTTCAGTAGCACACTGGCTACACATCTCTTTCTCCCTGGTCCCCATGTTCCTCACATAGACTCTATGGTACAGGTGGGATGGAATCCCTTCCTGATCAGAACTGCCAGCTTTATGGTCCCTCTATGCTACTAGAAAGGCATAAAAATCTGGCCCTTATTCTTTAACAGTGAAATATTCAGAAACAAACTTTTACCTTGTAAAAGTACAGGAGATAGATAACGTTCACTTCTTACATGTGTAACATACATAACATGTCTAGGCACTTCATCTTCTGGGGAAAGCAAGTGAGGGAGGGCTCACATCTGGTGCTGATACAACGTAGCATGTTCTGGAATCAGGACAGAAATATGAAAGTGGATACATAAATCTGAGTTTACTTTTGGGGGTTGTTCACTTTTCATGATGGTTTACAGGCTCAGTGGTATTGTGTCAGAGCAGATTCAGACAAGCATTGGTCTCTCTGCTAAGTCATCTTTTTGAACCACTGACAACAAGTGCCACAATTTTATGTGAAATCTGATTGTCTTCACCACCTGCAGCTCTGGGAAGGGTGTTCCAGTTCATGGGAGCAACCGGGACAGTGTTCAGAGCTGGCATGTGTGTTTGTGTAGATAGTCAAGGGAACAGTCAATGGAGATTTTCTCTTAAACAGGAGAAAGGAAGACTCTGTGAGATGCCCCAGTGAAGACTGGGATTAAAAGAGAGACCTGATTCCCCAGAGGTCTCAAATTGTCACCACCAAACTCCAGGCACATGTGGAGCATCTTGCACTCTACATTACATGGCATCAGAATGATCACAGTGACATTTCAACTTGCTTCTTGTGAGATTCCTGTGAGTCAGGAGTCCCTGTGGCTGCAGGTTTGGCTGCATTGTCTGAATTAACCCTATATTGTTTTATGCATTTACTTTGACACAGCCAGGAAAATCACTGTTTATGTCACGTTCATCCTTTCAAGGAAAGAGTCCAGAGTTCTTGCACAAAGTCAGGCCCACACTTTAAAAATGGCTTCTAATTTTGGTGTCCTCAAGTTTTGTTGCCAGCTGTGAATATGTAGGGTGAGATTTTCAAAAGCACTCAGTTTGGTTTAACTCTTCTCCCACTGAAGTCAATCGGAGTTTTTTTTACATGGGATCAGATAGGCCAATACTGAGCTCTTTAGAAAATCCCACCTGACATCTAATTCAGGTACTTAAATATTCATTTAGGTGCCTCATTTTAGGCACCAGCGTTTGAAGCTGGTAGTCCAGGTGCCTAAAGTTGGGCACTCAAACATATGAAGTAACCAAAAGCAGAGGCCACTTGGGAAAATATGAGCTTTCATAAGTCCCCAGCAGGAAGATCACAGCCTGTGTATTTTTGTTTTAGCTTTGTGTCCCTTGTAATGGATCAGATGTATTCATTTGTAGCAGCAAAACTTCATCACGTTCTTTAACCTCCTAGACACACAGAATTTTTGTAATTTATAAGCAAAAAATAAACCTAGCCTAAATCAAGGCTCTTAGATCTCAACACTATTTTCTTTTCAAAACAAAAAGGTATAAATCTTGTATCTAGCAGTTGTATGTTCTTAGAACACTTTACTTGGACTGTAAGCCCTGAGGGGCAAAGGGCAGTTTCTAAGGCACTACTGTAATATACATAACACCAATAATGAATGCAGATTTGTTGTGGGTAGGAATCACTGCTGCATCAACATCCTTTTCACAATTTATTATTCATTTTTAGGATTATTTCCACATTCCACTTTCTGAAGACAAAAAAGGCAGACAATATTTGGAGCTGATCTATGCAGGAGCAATACTGAAGGACAACTGGATCCTTGCTGACATAGGGATATCCGTTTCCTCGACTATTAAATGTGTTGTTAAGGTACAGTATGATTAAAAAAAACTGATAGTCTTAAATTGTCCAGAAATTCTGTTGTGTTTTTTGGTTCTCCTTCTAGACCTTGTGCTAAATTTAACATCACTAAGCAGCAGTAAAAAGTATCTGACCTCAAGAGTAGCCACCCTGACGGTCAAAGAATGAGTGTAAAAAAGTTGTTATGGTAACACGAATGATGGGGCTTATATTTATTTACATGGAACTTTAAAGATTGTAAAAATAGGGTCTCTACAGAAATTGGATTTGTGGAATGAAAGACCTTTACAAATAGGGAGAAAAAGCCTCTTCGATACAGCACTATACAGATTTCCCACTGTGGGAAATAGATTTAGGAGGATGTTGTCAGCCATATATTTCTGTCACCCCCAAAATCCATTCCTTCCCTCAGTATCTGTGATCACAAATTGACTTTAGGTCATGATCTGTCATTTTTCCTCTATTGAATATATACTTTGGCAGTCAGTTGCTGCTGCTCCTTCATGAGATGCAGAAAAGCTAAAGTTGAATTGCATTAAATAGAAAAATAGCACTAGTCTCTCTACTCCCACTTGCACAGGCTTCCAGTAAGCTAAGTGCAGCAAGTTTTAAATACAGCACATAGTATAGTCTTTATAATACCATTGATAAGAATAGGGAGAGAGGCCACAACTGGAACCTTGAATTTGAACCCCTTCGAATTTCAGCGGGTGGAGATTATATCCTAATCCTTGGCTCCAATCCTACCCCACTGGTTTTGGTTCTGAATTGGATTCTAAACCAGAATGAACCATTTTTCCATTCATGGTACAGCTGTGGCCAAACTCTTGTGAGAAATGCTCACCATTCAAAGGTCTAATCTTGCAAGGTTGCCAGCATTCAAGATGACTAAAATCTCATAAACTGCTGATCTCATGAGACTTTCACCATTTGGGGCTGAAATCTCAAAAACAACTATTGACATTTTGGGACCATTAAAAACAAAGATGAGCCCTGGCCCTTATTAGGCCTCTAAACTGAACCCTAAAGCCTAACCAAAACCTTTCCTTATATCTAGTGAGAACCAAGATTTGTGAGTTAATTTTAGAGGCATTGTTCTAAGAAGAATTATCATTCATTATAATTTAGCATCATGGTTTGGCTCCCTCCTTGCCATGGAGAATACCATGGGAGAGGATCAGGGAACTGCAAGATTTCCTTGCAGAGTTTCATCTACATAATCCCTGAAAGGGAAAGGATCTGGGGGCAGGAAGGGTGGAGGCTTGGAGGCCTCCTGACCCTGTGGTTCTGCAGGGAAGGTCTCTTCCCCATCCCCCTCTCTATAGAGGCAGGAACTCATCCATGTGGATGGCTCACCTTTTATTTGGTTCCATTGGCCTCCCTCTCCTCTAGTAACACAACTCCACCAGGAGACATGCTGTCACTGACTGGGTCCCCCTGTAGCTGCTTAGTAGCAGCTGCAGAGGACATGAGTGGGAGTTAACAGACCTCCTAGCTGTATAAATTTCCTGCTGAATTTTTGCATGGAAATCTGGTGTGGTAGGAGGGGACAGTGCCATAGAAAGTGGAAGCTGCCTTGCTTAGGTCCTGGCTCCAGCCTTAGTCCAACTCAAAATAAAACTGCATATCAGGAACTAGTTTATTTCAGTTTGTGTGTGAAATGTGAAAAAGGAAAAAAAATCAAACAGGTGCTCCCTGCCTTGTACTGTCTAAAAAGGCATGTATGATGCAAAAATCAGATCACCAAAATATTACTTTGCAATTCTGCTGTAACTGGAAAATCTTTTCTTCCTTCATTCTCAGGAAGTAGAACACATGATTTCCTCTTGCTTTCTAAATGCATCCATATTGAAATAACCTGGGTTTTTCTTGTTGTGTAAGGTCACACTTTTGCTGGAATACATGAGAAGGAGTTAGAATTTCAGGGGAATAACTCATAGTTTTGTATTACAGCTCTATGCCAACACTATTAAAGGAAATAAGCAATACAAAAAGACGTGACAAAATACAACAGCCTCTCATGCTGGTATGGTTTGGTAAAATAACTATACTATATCCTTAATATATAACTAAGGAAAACATGACATATATGATATCTTTTGAGCATAATTTTCAGACCTGGTAGCCTAAATTTGGACACCTAGACCTGCATCTAGCTGTCTAAGTCCGGGATCGGCAACCTTTGGCACCCAGCCCATCAGGGAAATCCACTGGCAGGCCAGGACGGTTTGTTTACCTGCAGGTTCGGCCGATCGCAGCTCCCACTGGCCGCGGTTCGCTGTTCCAGGCCAATGGGAGCTGTGGGAAGTGGTGGCCAGCACATCCCTCAGCCCACGCTGTTTCCCGCAGCCCCCATTGGCCTGGAACGGCGAACCGCGGCCAGTGGGAGCTGCAATCAGCCAAACCTGCAGATGCTGCAGGTAAACAAACCATCCTGGCCTGCCAGCAGATTTCCCTGATGGGCCGCACGTCAAAGGTTGCCGATCCCTGGTCTAAACTGTAGCCGTTTATATATACCTGGTTCAGACATATCAGTGATTATAAAGGCTATTAAAAGTATATTTAGACATCAAAATTGGGCTGCCTAGGGCAAATTCTGTCTTCACTTACAATCTGAAAGTCAATAAATAATACTTCTCACTTCTACAGTGCACACATCTGAGGATTTCAAACATTGTTTGAGCAATAATGAATTAAATCTCCTAGCACCCCTGTAAGCGAGGTATAATTAGTTATTACAAGTATTCTCTCCATATTACTTGTTGGGTAGCAGAGGCACGGAAGTTAAGAGACATTTCCAGGGAATCTGGGTACAGCCAGGAATACAATCTAAGTTGCCTGACTCTCAATACTGTGTTTTAACCAAAAGGTCCTCCTTTTTCAGTGCTGTTGCACACATGGATCTAAGGACAGAATATGGCATTTGGGGGCCAACTTTTAACCCATGTTCACTTAAAGTCTGTAATTCCAGGGAAGTGTACAACACAGCTGAGTGAGGCTTACACAAATTAAAATGAGATAATTACCAATTGCCATCACATAAATTTATTTTTAAACAATATTTTGACTGGATTGTTCCCAGTTACAAGAAAAACAGAAAGTACTTCAATCAACGAAGGTGTAAAAAAATTTTTTTATACAGGGCTTTTCAGTGTCTGAATGACCCTTGTATCCTTTTTCTTGAGTCTTCTCCCTCTCCTAAATCCCATAACAGGTCATTTTCTTTAATTTTCTGAGGTGGCTAATTGCTGCCTTTATTTTAAAGAAAATACAACTCCTCCTCCTGGAGGATTTTCACTCTGGCTGGAAGGAGGAGGAGTTACCCTTTGCAGAAAACAGAAAAAGACTGTTTAATATGTCTGGTGACAGGCTTTGCACAAGACCTTTACGGCTGGTCTTAAATCTTAATCCAAAACAACTATTTCTGTCCCTCACAGTCAATGTCTGTAACAACCTTGGCTGTTTTCATCCATCATGAGGAACACTTTTATTCTCTCCAGGGTGGCATTTGTGTGGGTTTTGTGTCATGGGGCTCCTAACTACCCTTCTTGTCTATAAGCATATCAGATCTTCTTGGCTACTAAATTAGAGTACTCTGTGCACCTGCCATCCATACAAGTAATCCTGTCCATGTTACCACTGCTGTGGGGGTTACGCAAAAGTCATGCATTAATAAGACCAGATCCTTGGCCCTATTCCATTTCTTTGAACTGCCAATGCTGTCTTAAACAGATGTAGTGCCAGAGTAACTACCCCTACATCACCTTATTACAGCCTCCAGCGGACGCGGTGTGGCCATGCTGAGGGGGCAATAAACTCTTGGGGACCATTACCAGTCAGCACAACTTAGAGCAGCCCTGAGGATAAAACCAGACCCTGGCTAGCCTCAGGACTGAGGGATGTAATGTTGGCGTACAGCCACCTCTGATCACCACTATCCCAGGTCCTATGCCAAGGACAGTTCATCCACATCTGAGTTTCAGGGCCATAGGCTTCAGCTGATTTTCAGCAATGCTTCCTGCATGGGTGCTGGAAAGAGGGAGAACAGGATCCCTGTGTTCTGTCCCCACAAGCTCATCTATGCAGGGCCACGCACAATTTGACCTTCAATTGTTTGTCACAAGGGAGAAAAGTGCTGAGGCTAAAACAATACAAGGCTAAACAAAGCATTGTAGAAACAGACATGATAAAAGTACACAACAGCACTGCAACCTAGATTTCTGTTTCATGCACACAGGGAAGACTGTCTTTTAGAGTGTGCTTTTTTTTTTGTTTTGTTTTGATTAGCTGCAAACTGCAAAGCCATGTGCAGTAATTAATGAGGTGGGCTGTTGCAAGGCAGCAGCTTCTGTGCACTAACAAGCCTGGCTTCTCGCCATGGTTGTTATATAAGCCGGAAAAGATCCTGAAGATAGCTTGGCTGTATGTAGGTCCCTCAGTCCATAAACAATAAAGAACATTTTTAGTCTTGCTTATTGCTCCACTCTCTGTCATAGGATTAGTTGGCCAGAATTATTGCTGCTCCTGGTACAGCAATCACTAGGGCTGCAGTGTATAAAAACAAGGAGTGGAACAGAAAAGGACTGCAGTGTTCAGATGTCTTTGAGAAACTTAGCAGCTTGTTTACTCCAAGTCTTCTGGTTCTAGCTTTGTTGTTGCTGTTTCCCTGGGGAGAAAGATAAATTTAATTTAATCAAGTCCTTGATCTGTATGCATGTTGCATGCTGTGTGTTTGCTTTTTCTTCAGAAGAGGCAGAGATTTGATGGTAGGAATTCTTTTTTAAATTGCCTCTTTAAACCCTGATATGCAGCCCCTACTTGGTAAATCTGTATAGTCACTGCCCATTCCTGCAAGGTAGTGACCGCCTCCAGAGGGTCAATAAATTGAGAGGCCACAGCATTTTCCTTGAGATGCTCAACACCTCTGGGGAGTAGGTCTTAAACATGTGGCTCTCTTTAGGATTGAGAATTTACATGCATTTCCGTAACACCTATCATAAAACACTAGACACAACAAGAATCAATACTTAAAAACACCATTTACAAAATATATGCAAAATGATGCAGCAACAACAATAATTGATTTATCAATTCACCAAAACTGAGACCCTCTCCACTAAATCCACCCCCTTAGAAAAAGCTTGCATAATAGAAAAGCTTTGCACGTGAAGGTCCACAAATTCTGGCTTTGTTGGAACAAAGGGTGACGTGAATTTCAGGAGGTGAAAGCATACATCCTATAATGTTCTGTCAGCAACCCCTAGACATGGAAATCTAGGCATTGTTAGACCAACTGTCCCAGCTGATATCAGTTGTTGGAATGGAATATAAGGAGAGAGCTGGTCTCATGAAGGTTGCCTTCACTAGCAAATGGTATGTGGTTTGAACATGACTGTGTAGAGTTGAGTCAGCTGACAAAATGCTGACCAAGACTGAATAACATTCAGATCCTTTTCCGCAGTACTCCTTCCTAGGCAGTCATTTCCCATGTTGTATGTCTGCAACTGATTATTCCTTCCTAAGTGGAGTACCTTCATTTGCCCTTATTGAATTTCATCCTATTTACTTCAGACCATTTGTCCAGATCATTTTGAATTTTAAACCTATCCTCCAAAGCACTTGCAACCCTTCCCAGCTTGGTATCACCCACAGATTTTATAAGTGTACTCTCTATGCCATTATCTTAAATCACTGATGAAGATATTGAACAGACCTAGACTCAGAACTGATCCTGCAAGACCCCACTTGACATGCCCTTCCAGTTTGACTCTGAACCACTGATATCTACTCTCTGGGAACGGTTTTCCAATGAGCGATGCATCTATCTTATAGTAGCTCCATCTAGGTTTATTTCCCTAGTTTGTTCATGAGACAGTCATATGAGACAGAAGCCTTACGAAAGTCAAGACATACCACCCCTATTTCATCTCCCCAATCCACAAGGCTTGTTACCCTGTCAAAGAAAGCTATTAGGTTGGTTTGATGTGATTTGTTCTTAACAAATCTATGCTGACTGTTACTTATTACCTTATTATCTTCTAGGTCAGTGTTTCTCAAACTTGGAACACCGCTTGTGCAGGGAAAGACCCTGGCGGGCCAGGTCGGTTTATTTACCTCCTGTGTCCGCAGGTTTGGCCAATCGTGGCTCCCACTGGCCGCGGTTCGCTGTGCCCAGCCAATGGGGGCTGTGGGAAGCAGCGGCCAGTACATGCCTTGGCGCGGGCCACTTCCCACAGCCCCCATTGGCCAGGCACAGTGAACCGCAGCCAGTGGGAGCTGCGATCGGCTGAACCTGCGGGCGTGGCAGGTAAACAAACCAGCCGGGCCCGCCAGAGGCTTTCCCTGCACAAGTGGCGTCCCAAGTTTAGGAAACACTGTTCTAGGTGTTTGCAAATAGATTCCTTAATTATTTGCTCCATTATCTTTCTGGGTACTGAAGATAAGCTGACTGGTCTGTAATTCCTCGGGTTGTTCTTATTTCCCTTTTCTAGTCCTCTGGAATCTCTCCCATCTTCCATGACTTTTCAAAGATAATTGCTAACCTAATGGCTCAGATATCTCCTCAGTCAGCTCCTTGAGTATTCTAGGATGTATTTCATCAGGCCCTGATGACTTGAAGACATCTAACTTGTCTAAGTAATGTTTTAACTTGTTCTTTCCCTATTTTAGCCTCTGATCCCACCTCATTTTCACCGGCATTCACTATGTTAGAGGTCCATTCAAAACCTTTTTGGTGAAAACTGAAACAAAAAAGTCATTTAAGCACTTCTGCCATTTTCACATTTTCTGTTCGTGTTCTCCCCTCCCCCCCATTGAGTAATGGGTCTACCCTGTCCTTGGTCTTCCTCTTGCTTCTAATGTATTTGTAGAATGTTTTCTTGTTACCCTTTATGCCTCCAGCTAGTTTAATCTCATTTTGTGTCTTGGCCTTCCTAATTTTGTCCCTATATACTTGTGTTATTTGTTTATATTCATCTTTTTATCTTGATCTAGTTTCCACTTTTTGTAGGACTGTTTTTTGAGTTTCAGATAATTGAAGATATCCTGGTTAAGACAAGGTGGTCTCTTGCCATACTTCCTATCTTTCCTGTGCTGTGAGATAGTTTGCTATTGTGCCCTTAATAATGTCTCTTTAAAAAACTGCCAACTGACTGAACTGTTTTTCCCCTTAGACTTGCTTGCCATGGGATCTTACCTACCTTGCTTGCCATGGGATCTTAACTTCTCCCTGAGTTTCCTAAAGTCTGCCTTCTTGAAATCCATTATCTTTATTCTGCTTGTTTCCCTCCTACCATTCCTTAGAATCATGAACTCTACCATTTCATGTTCACTTTCACCTAAGCTGCCTTCCACTTTCAAATTCTCAACCAGTTCCTCCCTGTTTGTCAAAAATCAAATCTAGAACAGCCTCTACCGTAAGTGTCTAATGCTGTCATCTAATGCTACTCTTAACAGTCATGTCAAATACAATAACATTTTCTAGTGAAAACAAGTCCTAAGTGTCAAGCATGCTAGTGACACTACAGAAATAATAAGGGACACAAAACCCAAACTCTGTGAAGGGCTGAAATCTCATCAAGTGGGTAGCCAGCCTTATTCTGCTAGCTGAAATGTGAATTATCTTCAGCTAGTGGTACTTGGGAAACCCAAAAAATTTAACTGAAAATTTCAGACTCAGAAAATTTTGACTAACTTTATCATCGGGTATAGCACCACAAAGAACATATTGCAGTAAGCCAATCTGGAGAAGACAAAAGTACAGGCTTTTGACAAGGCCTGGATCTGATAGGAAAATCCTGTCACTACCACTTAGTCAAGCACAGAGATAACAAAAGCAACCATAACGGGGGTGGGGTGGGGCGGGGCTGCTATCTGAACATCCAGAAGCAGCCGAAGATCCTATTGGAACTCTAGATTATAAATTGTAAGATATCCTTTCTGCCGTCTCCTCTTATTAGTGAACTGCATCACCTGTGTCTTATCGAGATTAAGTTTCAGCCAGCTGTCTTTCATCTAAAACTCAATTATGGTCAGGCACTGAGAAAATCAAACTCCTTAGATCTGATGCAACAGGTGCAAAGCCAAATGTCATCGTTATCCATATCTTGATGGTTTTGCAACCTGCACCATCTCGCTATTTCTCCTAGTGGTCTTCTATATTCAATGAAATTCCTTGTGCTTTTCTGACTCCAATGGGATATTCCTGAATTGCACCTCAGTGCAGTAACCTCTATTCATGCTAACAGTCAACTAGTATTTTCATTAATAGAACCAAATTCTGCTCTAACTCACAGATGCTACTCAGCTGAAGTTAATGGGGTGCACTAATGTGCAGAATTAGGCTTACATTTATAAGCAGTGACTGTGTGTTAATTGTTGTACAAGACGTAAAATATAGACAGACCTTACCTTGGAACTGTTATAAATGAAGTAAAAAATATATGCTCATGATTTTCATCCTTGCATCTGAAAGCATTTTACAAATCTGAAATAGCGAAGCCTCACAACATCCCTGTGAAATAAATATTATTCTATCTATTTCATAGATGAGTGAACTGGAACACAGAGGAGTTCAGGGCCCACTCCTCCAGGTGTCAAAAGCCCCTCAAGAGATGAGGAGTGCCCTAATGTCTCACTGATGTCAAAAGGCGCTTACGTTTTTCAGCACCTCACAAGAGGCGCTCAATACCTTGTAGGTTTGGGCCCTTAATGACTGGAGAAGGTCAAGCAGCCAGTTTTAGGGATAACTGGTAATAGAACCTAGTCTCCTGCTCTGTCCACTGGACCACGCTCGAACAAAAAGGACAGTAGATCCTTAGATGTGTAAAAAGAGTGTACCTAAACTATAGGCACAATTTACAAGAGCATTGTTGCTGGAGTACTTATGTCATTATTATTTTTGCTTTTAGGAAGAAGACAAACCAGCCTTCTATGTGTACAATGCTGTAACCCAAGAGAAAGTGCCCATTAAGGGGAGTATTTATCTTCTTGCTACAAAAGTGTCCCTTTTGAAAACACTGGTAACCCTGAAATGTGGCTTTCCAAATAGTGTTTATTGTCTCAGGACTCCAGAGGGCAAGGAGATGTACGACTGCAACACACTGAACGATTACCAGTTAGATATAGGTATAAGATGGTTATATTTTCACTACCTACTAAATAGAGCAATGGTGACCCAATATGTGTCTATAACGTGTCAGTTTTCTGTATTTAAGGAATATTTATCATTGTTTATATTTAGGGAAACCTGAAAAGCATTATTATTATTATTTATTTATTAATACTTTTCTAATGCAGATCTCAGTATTAAAAAAAAACATTTTGGGTCAAATGATGCTCTTCAAAATAAAACAATGTGAAAGGCAGGTGGAGAGACAAAAATGAATGATGCACAAAAGGAACCCGTAATGCACTTCTGCATGCCCTTGTAATAATATTGGGCCTGCACTTGTACAATTGTAAGTTGGGACTTATACCAGTGCATCTCCAGTGAAATAAAACTGGTGTAAGGGAGAGAAGAATGAGGATTCTTATCAGACTGGGTGTTGCTTGTAAGATGGGAGAATACACAGAAAACTGCAGAAATCTTGCATACCAACATATAAAATTAATATTACCCCTACAAGCCCACTGTGCTATAGTCCCAGTCCACTTCCCAAAGGTGTTAATCTTGTCCTTACATCAGTGGTTCTCAACCAGAGGTCTGGGTCCCCCTGAGGGCTGCGAGCAGGTTTCAGGGGGTCCGCCAAGCAGTGCCAGCATTAGACTTTCTGGAGCCCAGGGCAGAAAGCCAAAGCCCCACTGCATGGGGTTGAAGCCCGGGGCTCTGAGCCCCACCACTCGGGGTTGAAGCCGAAGCCTAAGAAATGTAGCTTTGCGAGGGCCCCTGTAGTATGGAGCCTCGGGCAATTGCCCTGCGTGATACCCCCTAACGCTGGCTCTAGCTTTTATATGCAGAAAAACAGTTGTGACACAGGTGGGCTGTGGAGTTTTTATAATATGTTGAGGGGGGCCTCAGAAAGAAAAAGGTTGAGAACCCCTGCATTACATTACTCCTTAGATGGCATACTGGCTTTGTATGTTACAGACAGCTGACCACAGTTTTGTCATTTTTAAATTTAAAAAATACAATAAAAGCTGTGTTATCCAGCACTTTACCAACCAGAAAGCTCTAGAAACTGGCATTTCTAATATCTCCCGATACAAATCTTCAATAGGGTTGCCAGGTGTCCAGTTGTCCCTCCTGTTCCTAGGCTCCATGCGCTGCCCCTGCCCAACCCCCAGCCCTCAATCCCCTCCTGCACCCAAACTCCCTCCCTCCATTGGTAAGTATAACTCTTAGTTAACAGGTTTCAGAGTAACAGCCGTGTTAGTCTATAGCTCACGAAAGCTCATGCTCAAATAAATTGGTTAGTCTCTAAGGTGCCACAAGTACTCCTTTTCTTAGTTAACAGGAATTTTTGACTAACCTGCACCCCTCATTCCCACAACATGTCAGATAACAAAGTTTTTACTGTAAATGAAAAAAATGACAGTGAAGTTTTCTGTTAGGTCACTATGCTGGTGACCAACCTAACCAACAAACCAGTCTAAATGTAGGGTAAGATATGGCCCAGTGTGTTAGCCTCATGCCAGAATTAGATTTCATGGCTTCCTAGCTTCTGCTCTTTTGCTTAGTCTACTAGACCAGAGATACTGAAACTTCTTCCACCTTGTGTCCCCAAACCAGCAACAGTTTCTTGTAACAACCTAAAATCTCTCAATCTGCTGTGGTCAGAAAATATTGAAGGATTAATATCAAGGCAAGAAATCATGGCTGACTTTGGGTGCTCGGTGAGGAGTTTGTAGGTGCTGGACGAGAAGCATTTCGGGGATCTGGAGAGGGGTTGGGAGCTAGTAACTAGGGTGCACTGCCTCACTAGTGTGATTGGCTCATTCAGGGAGTGTTAATATTCTGTACCCCACCTGCTGAACTTATTAACTGTGGCATCATAAGAAAAGGTAGCTGTCACTTACATCTTTATCTATACTTCCTGTAGTTCTCAAAGGGGAATAATTTGATGCAAGCAGTTATCTTTGTGGGTTATCCCCCTCCTTCCCTCTGACTGTATCCCCTTTTGGCACTTTACAGGATGGGACTCTGTGGCCATTTTATCTTGTAACTACCCATAGCTGCTTTTAAAAAAAGCACACAGGATTTGCTACTTTTCTTGGTAGTATCTTATGACAACAGTGTTCATTCCGCACTGCATCCTGCTACCAATGGAAGAATAAGATCCTCATTGATTAATTAGGGCTAGATTGTGAACCCCTTAGTCCCACTCATGAGCAGTTACTCAGACAACGTGTCTATTGAAGTCTTTGGACTACTTATGAGTTAACACCTATACCTGAGTTAGCTGGCACAGGCCAGCTGGGGACTTCTAAGCACAGCAGGGGAGAAATCTCCTATGTCATTGGTTCTACCAGCCTACAGCACTTTCTCTCCCACACATTGTTCTTCCTTCCTTTTACCTTTTTACCTCTGATTTAATGAGGTAATTAGTTATTAACTTTTCCAGCCTATTGGTTTGGCTCAGTTCCCACATTCAGGTGTTTATAAGGCAACTAATTGAAGTTGCTATGGTCAGACTGCTGGATCAGGTGCTGTTGCTCGGCACTCTGTCACATGTATTAACAAGAGTGTTGTAAGCTAGGACATGAGAAGTATTTCTTCCACTCTACTCAGCTCTGATAAGGCCTCAATTAGAGAACTGTGTCCAGTTGTGGGCACCACACTTGGGGAAGGATGTGGAGAAATTGGAGAAAGTCTAGAGAATAGCAACAAAAATGATTAAAGGTCTAAAAAACATGACATACAAGCATAGGCACCGACTCTGTGGGTGCTCCGGGGCTGGAGCACCCATGGGAAAAAATTAGTGGGTGCTCTGCACCCACTGGCAGCCAAGCTCCCCTTCATCCCCCGCCCCACCTCTTCCTCCTCCCCTGAGCGTGCCATGTCCCCACTCCTCTGCCTACCTGCCAGCGCTTCCCGCAGGGTTGCTGGGGTGAGGCAGGGGAGGGGCCTCATGGAAAGGGTGGAGTGGGGGTGTGGGGGGGAGGTCGAGCACCCCAGGGAAAGGGGGGAAGTCGGCACTTATGCATACAAGGAAAGATTGAAAAAAATGGGTTTGTTTAGTCTGGAGAAGAGAAGACTGAGGAGGGACATAACCATCTTCAAGAATGTAAACGGTTGATAAAAAGAAGAGGGTGATAAATTGTTCTTCTTAACCACTGAGGACAGGACTTAAATGGGCTTAAATTGCAGCAAGGGAGATTTAGGTTTGACATTAGGAAAAAAATTTCCTAAATGTCAGAGTAGCTAAGCACTGGAACATATTACCTAGGGATGTAGTGGAATCTGCCACAGGAGGTTTTTAAGCACAAGGTTTTTAAGGAGGTTAGACAAACACCTGTTAGGGGTGGTCTAGTTAATGCTTACTATTGCCTCAAGCAGGGGATTGGAATAGATGACTTATCGAGGTCCCTTCCAATCCTACATTTCTGTGATTCAGTAATTCATAGTGTGCATGTACTTATGCCCAATTAGTTACAATATATTCTAATTACCTGCAGCATCTGCAGGTTCAGCCCATTGCAGCTCCCAGTGGCTACAGTTCGCCGTTCCAGGCCAGTAGGGGCTGCGGGAAGCAGCATGGGCCGAGGGATGTGCTGGCAGCTGCTTCATGCAGCCCCCATTGGCCTGGAACAGTGAACCGCGGCCAGTGGGAGCTGCGATCGGCTGAACCTGCGGACACTGCAGGTAAACAAACCGTCCTGGCCTGTCAGTGAATTTACCCGATGGGTCGCGTGCCAAAGGTTGCCAATCCCTGTTATATTCAGTTCTGATCAGTCAATCTCAAAATATATAGCAGAGAGGATTAAGAGAGAAGTGACAAAAATGGGATTGTGTATGGAGAGATTTCTGTAAGAGAGACTGAAAAGACAGGGACTGTTTAGTTTTGAGGGGAGACATAAGATGGGACTTGATATAGCTATATGTAATAATGACTGCTGGAAAGATATTTAACAGGGCACCTTTATTTATATTTTCTCATAATAAGAACAAAGGGACATTCCATACAGCATGTAAATTATCTGTGGTACTCTGTGCCACAAGACATCACTGTGACTAAGAGTTTAGTAGCACTGAAAAAGGATTAGACATTTATGTGGCTAATGAGGACATCCACAGTTTTTGGTTTTGTTTTTAGAAGGCACATAGACCCCCCCCTGCCCCATACTCTGAGGCACTGGTGGTTAGACTGGTTGGTTGGAAGTCAGGACTCCTAGTCTTTATTTCTGGGTATGCCAACAAGCCACTATGAGACCTTGAGTATAGCACCTAGCCTCCCTGTACCTTGGTTTACCCACTGGTAAGAAAGAAAAAATAATAATGAAATTAATCACACAGGACATGTATAACTATGGATGACAACCAATAGTACAGATAAGGGCATAATTTCTTCCCTCATGTCTATTCCATATAAACCCATTCACTTTAGTGGAGGTGGATCAGGCTTCAATGGGACTACTCACTTGCTTAAAGTTAGGAATGTGTTTAAGTACCTTGCTGAATCGGTGCCTATGTAAAGGGAGAATTTATCCCACCATAACTTTTTGACTTCCGAAAAGCAGTAGGTTATCATACGGTTCATTTTTCCCTGAAGTAGAAAATGTAAGTTTGTGGATAAGTGTATGGAATAAACTAGCATGTTAATATAGACTTAAACATACCATCGTCCTAAGTCTGGAGAGTGAATATGAAATACAGACCAATTCTGCACCTTGTATAGTCAATTTATACCAGTATAAAATGAATGTAAAATACTACTATTATGATCTGACAATGCTTTATACCTACTCGAATTTGCATTAATGTGGATGACTACACAAGGTACAGGGCAGTGTTTGGTTTGGCCCCATAACCACAATATTTAGAAAGGGAATAAATATAAAATAACCCAGACAAATACAAACTTACAACAAGCAAGTAATGGTTGGTTTCTAGGAGTATATTTACAAAAGATGGATAATTAAGTTGCTGGTCAAACATATATCTAATACCATGTATAGAGTATTACAAAAATAAACATTCACCAGCAGACAATCTAAATTTAAACTGCTTATAAAACTGTGCAGAAAAAAAGCCCAAGGACTTGGTCAACAGTATACATACAGAAACTGAACCACTGAAATCATGAGCTAGGTAATCTGATCTATAATTCTGCTATCTTGGGTGTGGATATTTGGTGCAGCGTCCTGAACCCGGTATATACACAGTAACATTCCAAACCAGAACAGAAACACTTTAGAGATCCAAAACTTAGAGGCCCAGTTTTGCAGTCCTGATGCATTCACAATTGCTGTTGCAATCATTACAGATGTGGGGGTTTGTGTGTGGGAGCTGTCCACACTCATGCTGATTTAACACCCACATAACTCCATGGAGTTTAAGTGTAAACATCAAATCAGCCTGCCAGTAACAGGCTCTAAAGGATCACATTTAGAATCTCACAGCCTTTCTGATATTTGCAATTTTAACACTGGGCCCACTTCTACCCCCAAAAACCAGTGGATGTTACAGCCATGAAAAAAAGATCAGGACTGAGACCAGAGTATTTTTAATGCCCTCTCATGGAAGTTTTAATTACAATACCTCCTAGAATAGGAAAATCCTGCTGAACTTCACTGCCCCAAATCTTTTACGGGAAGTTGGGTCTGTGACTATGTTTAAAATGTGAATATCAAATTATAGTGGATTGTTAGGAGCAACCCTCAAGGTCCTGTCTTACTTACCATTTATCTGTTTTTTTTATTTTGATTTAAATAATAAAAAAGACATCTGTACACAGGCTCTATGTGCCCTGACACTCAATCACATTTACAACATAATACTTCCAGTGGTATTAAAAAACAAACCATCAGACAGGAACAATAGCACAACTCAACTAGCCAGCCAGCTACAAAAAGCTCCTTTCAGCCTCCTCCCAACCACCCATCATTCTGAGAACATATCCTCAACCCTCTCTAAACACCCCTTCCAATAGACAGTTTTTGCTACATGCCTGGAAGGTCACAAATTCAGGCTATTTCAGACCAAGTAACCAATCAATATCTCATCTGTGTGCAATAGACTACAAACTTTTTTTAATATAAACTAGCCAAAACTAACACCTTTTCAGATTGTTTGGTAGTTTGGTAAATTCAGTGTTAGGGGGTTTATATTCTCTTTTCTGGCCAGCCACTAGAGGACAAGCTATTCGCAGGTGTGGCCTGACATTCCCTCCAGCAGAGGGTTCTGGTACGCACACACTTCAGCCAGTAGGTTGCAGACATATCTTTTATATGCAAACCAAGAGGTTTAGACATGTATAAATTGCAAAAATAACAAAGCTGGAAGCAAGCTAAGTGATTGCATCTCTCTCACTGTTGCTAGGCACAACACTTCGCCTGGATGTGTGGGATGGATGGAAAGAATTCCTGACTGGGTGCCTCTTAGGAAACAAGCATACAGTCCAACGCTTCCTGTCTGATGAAGAACCAGTACTCAAGTACGGTAACTAATTGCATTTGGTTTTTTGCCCATTTTAAAACTTCTCCAGTCCAAGCACCTCTGTTCCCTAACAATGTCTTTTGAAAATTGATTATGTTTTGGATTTAACTGCTAGTTTACTTTAGTATTTTAATGTAAGGTGCTATTCAAGCAATTGAAATATCTCCTAAAAGGAGTATAGCAAAAATATCCTCATAATATAAAAAATATATCAGCTCCCATTTTAGTAATTTGGAGCCTGATCTATATTGATTTCAGTTGATCATGCTCTTATTTTACAACAGAAGTGTATGTATTTTAAAACGTCACTCTTATTTGGACATTTGGGAATTGTAATGACATTTCTGAAGGCTGCCATAAAGATCACCATTACTTCTTCACTATTGTTTTTAGTAAACTGTTCTTACAACCGAGCATTGTTTATACTAGCCTTGTAAAATTCTACTTGCCCACTCACCTGGAATGAGTTTTTCCTAGACAATTAGTTTTAAGTTGTTATGGTAAAGGGTAAAGACCAGGCAGATTTTGTGACTGTGCCAATACATTTTCGTGGAGATTTTGCAAGCCAATGCCATATTTAATGCCCCCTTAATAACTCTTAACACACATTCCTTACAGTATAATTAAACTGTATTGCAGTGCGTAGCTTTGGTGAGAGATACAAAGGAGAGAAAGGATCCCAGATGTTATCAGTGCAAGGGAAAAGCATCCAATTACTGACCTAACTGGATAAAGAAGATCATTTGACAGTGAAAGATCTTAGGCATGACATAACACATTAAGATTTATTCTAAATGAAATACAGTATACCGGCCCTTTGCCCCTGTAAAAAATAACAGCACTGCATGATAGTGTGGCACCATGTTTAGAACATTGCTTCACACCTTGTGGAACTTGACCTTATCAACTTTTTTGTTTCCCCCATCCTGTGGGGTTACTACAGGAGTGGAGCACAAGATTCTCAATATTTAATTTACTAATTAAAAACCCAGAATGTAAAGTGTCAGAAATATAAACAAATGGTGTCTTTTTACACTGGATGCTAGCTAACAAATGACTTGACGCTATAGATTTGGAAATAATTAATTAGTGCCTTCATACTATAGAATCTGTCCTGAGTTCAAATATCCTATTCCTGACAGGAAGAGTACATCACCCCATTAATTTTTTACAAGTCATACTACTTTCCAGAAAATGGCAATATCTCATCTGAATTCAATCTGTTTCCTTTAAATCTGGGCATTATAAACACAGTACCCCTTTGTGGTATCTAATTATGTATGCACTGTAGGATATAAAAGGGCAATGTATGAATAACTGACTTGAATGGAGTATTAAGCTAGAACAGAGTAGTTCTCTATCAGTGGAAATGTAATGAAAGATGCAATATAATTAAAATAATTGTCATATGGATTACAGTATATGAGATAGTAGCTCAGTGTCAATATTACTGCATACCTAGATTGTGGTGATAGTCTATGGTTTATTTTTCTATTTAGTGGCAGTGGCTTTGTATAGCAAGTGGTTTCTACTGTCTTTACCAAGAACAAGGACACACAGAACATAAGGAATTGTTAGATAAGAATTAGCTGGACAAGTCTACCCTCTTTACATGTATTTTAATCTTTGTCCCTTATTTTGTACCTGTATCATTTAATCACCTCCCCCACTTTTAAAATGTCCAACTATTTGTCTCTGAAATACTTGTACTCTTTTTTCACTGGCCTTTAAAGATCTCGTGTACTCATCTTCTCACATTTTTGAATGTCATGTGGATGTGAAACACCTTACCTTGTGTAAACTGTAAATCCTGTTTCACTTTATGAAACCCTTCTTCACTCGCAATACCTCTAGTGGGTCATCTTAAAATTTTCTCTCTTCAGATTATAAAATCAGCATATGCCGCTTTTTCATTTGTGGATAACAAATATGATCAACAGTGACTAAGCCCTTTTAACAAAGGTACAAATTACTTATTCATATGGGGACCATATTATCTAATCAGCCCATTAGAGCACAAAATCATGAGACTTAAAGACATATCTTGGCATATGTTTGGCTGAATATTTTTGTGCTGTCATTCTGCAAAGAAATATACATAATTTTGAAAGGTAGTATTTTTCTAATGCTTATGTTATGTTGGATTTCTTTAGTTTCTTCAGTTAATTTTTTTTTTTGCATGTTTCTTTTTGTCAGATATCAAAAGAGGGTGGCTCTTTACATGGCAGCATTTTTTGGCCACCTTGAGCTCACGGCATGGATACTGAAACAGGGAGTGAGACCCAATGAGGCAGTGGGTGTTCATCCCTACCGAGAATGGTGTCAGGAAACACATCATCCAGATGTAACTAAATGTCCAGTTCATGCAGCTGCAGAAGCAGGCCAACTAATTATACTGAAGGCCTTTGTCAATTATAGTGTCTTGTGCGTAGAGTGCCAAAATCCAGCAGGGCAAATTCCTCTGAACATATGCATCAAACACAAACATAAGGATTGTGTGCTATATTTAGTTACCAAAATGTGGTCGGTGGTTTCTTATCCTAATTTTTCACTTCCCATGAAGATCTACATTAAATTAAAGCAGTGGCTGCTTAGGGCGCAGAGTCACATCCTTACCACGAAATGGCTTAACCAGGCTGTAGTCTTCAGAACACGAGTGGGGGACACTGTTATCGTGGATGGCTTCACAAAGCCGAAAATGACTTCCAAAGCCAGGATCAAGGCAGCAGGCAATAAGGACTATAAGTTACCAAACCTAACTGATCAAACTCCACATGAGAAAGATTCATGTTCCTTGACAGTTACAAAGGGGAACCAAACAGTAATAAAGCTCAAATTACCTCCATTGGAAGATGCGAATAAACTCCCTAACATACACAGACTTCACCAAAAGAAGAGTATTAGAAAGAAGGCTGCTCAGCCTAGAAAAGATGAAAGTATGGACCAAAATATGTGTTTAGCTAAAGTTCCTCTGCCCCCTATTTCAAGCCTCAGAAATTCACGCCCTCCTTTCTACTATTCAACACCTAATGCTAAATTGCTCTTAAATTCCTCCTCTGAGTGTTTCTCAGAACACAATGGAAGAACTCCAAGAGATAATGCAATCTACTGCTTAGCTATTGCCAGGTATGGTATTCTCTTTTGTTTTCCTTCTTTATTTATGTCCCTCCCAGGTGTTTATATTTTCTTCTTCGGGTGCTTGCTCATGTCCATTCCACACTGCACAGTCGGAGATTTTTCCTTCAGTGGTATCAGTTGAACCAGCTCTAGTGCCCTCTGATGCTACGTGCTCATGCATTGGTAGAAGGGCCACAGACAGCCCACACCCTCTCAGTTCCTTCTTACCGCCCTTGATGGTCACTGGAACAACTCCTCTTGCCTTGGCAAGCCTTTCATTTAATGGCTTTGTTATGCTCTTCTTTTTTCGCAAGTTTAGTTACCTTTAGTTTATTTCTCTTAGTAGTAGATATATAGTTAGACCTCACAGTTGCATAGAAGGACATGCTCCAGACTTCAAACCCTGTGCCTCCTGTGGCAAGCCTATGCCAGTGAGCGACCCGGACTTCAGCTGTCTGAAGTGTCTGGGGGAGGCTCATGTGCAAGGTCTGCCACAGTCCATCTCCCTAGGAGATGAAGGGTGGGTTGTAGAATACATGTCTGCAGCCACATCTCAAAGAACAACTGTTACAACAGGTAAGAAACTGTATTTTCTAAGTATAATAACGTGATTTGATTTACAGTTCTGTTTTGCCCTCGTTATTAAACTGCATGAGAAAAGGAACCAAAATGTGTAGAAGCGGATCCAAAAACTATCTTGTTTTTTAAAGCTGTATTTTGTTTGTGTGACATTACAACTGGTCACTAAGGTTCTTCAGTAATGGACTGGTGAATTATAATTGGCACTTTCTTAGAAGTTACAAATAACCGATATTTGCAGAGACAAGGTGGATTAAGTAAATCTTTTATTGGACCAAACATCTGTTGGTGAGAGAGACGAGCTTTCGAGCCACACAGAACTCTTCCTCAAGTCTGGGAAAGGTACTAAGGTAAATGGTCCCTTAGAATATGTACTAACAACTTATGCTAAACTATCAGTTTGACCTTGTATTTAGCTGTGACACTCTGAATACCTTTCCCTGACTTGAGGAAGAGCTCTGTGTAGCTCGAAAGCTTGTCTCTTTCGTCACCAGAAGCTGGTCCAATAAAAGAACGATCATTTTCCTTTTACTTCCCTTTTTCTTCCTTTACTGTAATTAATGAATCTGAGGTGTATAAAGGTCCTCACTCACCTTGTCTCTCTTATATCCTAGCACCCACGCGGCTACAACAACATTGTGGATAGATATTTGCAGGAAATTTTTGTAGGATATGTTTGATGAGGGATTACTGCCACCTACTGGTAGCAATTATTAGTGTACATATCAGTTACAATTGAGGCCTCGTACTGAGAATAATTGTTGATGGAAGAACATCTTTAGCTGACCAGAATCCTTGCACTTAGCCAATGCCCTTGAGTCTAGAAATATAAATAGGTAGCTTCAGAGAAGGCTGAAAAAATTCTTAAACAACAAACAGAAGAACTAGGTAACACAGTAATTTATGAGTGAGGAAGTACTACACATTCCCAGGAACATTAAACATGCACAATAAGAGGGGGGTTATGTAAATTATGCAGAAGAAGACACTTTTAAAGGAAAAGTAATTACCTTGTTGAATCTGCAACTAAGTGAAGACATCAGAATTTGGATCGATATGAAGGGAATTAAGTACATGCCTAATTTTAAGCACCATTGACTTCAAAGGCACTCCGCATAGACTTAAGTGTCTTGATGAATCAGGGTGTTAGTGTTTATTCAGTCAATGGCAATTTGTCTCAGTAAATGTTGAGTGAGGAGCTCAGGATCTGGCACATTTGTTATTGTTCCCTTTCATTTTAAAAATAAAACTGCTGGGAGGAGGGTGGACTCCTTCACCCTCAGGGGAAGAAAGAGGGTGTGAAACTATTAAAGGGCAGAAAAATGTCAAGAAAAACAGATAATTTTGAATTGCTGTTAGTAATAGGTGTCAGGAAGAATCTTTCAGATTTTTTTTTATGGCTAAAAGACAGGGAGAGGAGAAATGTAGAATTCCAAGGTGCAAATGGAAACACTGAAAAGTGTGAAGAGAGCCAGTGCTAAGTTTGAGTCTATTTCCACGAAGCGATAACTCAGAGGTTCCCAAAATTTTTGCTGGCATGACCCCATTTTAATGAATTATTTCCTCCTGAGACCCCAGACAGCATGGAGGATGCCATTTTGAAGAGCAAAATGGCATTCTCTGCACAGTGTGAACTTGCATGCCCCATACACGTGAGGTCAAACTGCATGGAGGAAGCCATTTTTCTCTCCGCACAGTGTGACCTCGTACTTATGGCACATGCAAGGTCACACTGTGCAGAGGCAGGATGACCCACCTGTCCCTAATTGGGCAGGACAGTCCCAAATGTACATTTCAAGTTCAGGTCACCATTTGTCCCAAATTTCCTGCAGAACCACTCCGCGCCTGCCCGAGGCTCAGGGGTGATGCCAGCCTTTTCCTGGTGGGGGGGGGCGGGGGCTGAGGTGGGCTTTAGCCACCCCCCAGGCCATGAAGCCCTGTCCCCTGCTCCTCCTCTTCCCCCCAAAGCCCTGCCCCTGGCCAGGCCAGAAGCTGGAACCGGGCAGTAATAAGAGTCACCCAGGGAGCCTGAAATGCTGTGTGGAGCCATGGATGATCCCCCTACCCTGAGCGGCATACCCCAGGGGCAGGGAAACAGGCCAGGGACTCCTCTTGGGCACCCCAGCCTCCCACCCAGGGCAGGTGGAGGGTCCAATGCTCTCCACAGCAGCCCAGCTCCCTAGGCAGCTCTTACCACTGTCCAGCTTTGTCTTCTGGCCTGGCCAGAGCCTTAGGGAGAAGTGGAGGGGCAGGGGGGCAGGCAGGGCTCCTGCATGTGTCCCATTTTTGCATGTTGAAAAGGTGGTCACCCTATGTGGAGGATGCCATTTTGTAGAGCAAAATGGCATCCTCCATGCACCGTGACCTCCTACGTACTGTACATGTGAAGTTGCACTGTGCAGAGCAAACTGGCATCCTCCACACACTAGGGATTGCTGCAACCCCATCTGCAATGGGGGTGCGACCCCCGGTTTGAGAACCTCTGTGATAATTAGACTCAGGCTGCGGGGCATCTCCTGGCTTTGAGTTGAGGATGCCCAGCATCTTGCAGGCTCAGGTTCAATATATGTTCCGAAAAAAAGGTATTGCTTTTGGGTGGTAATTACAAATTACAAAGGATGAATATGAAAAAAACGACACAGGCATATAGGGACAAAATTAGAAAGACCAGCTCACAAAACCAGATGAAACTAGCTAGGAACATAAAGGGTAGAAAGAAAGTGTATTTATAAATACACGAGAAGCAAGAAGCAGACCAAGAACAGGGTTGGCTCCTCACTCAGTGATGAATTCATAGAATCATAGAATATAAGGGTTGGAAGGGACCCCAGAAGGTCATCTAGTCCAACCCCCTGCTCGAAGCAGGACCAATTCCCAGTTAAATCATCCCAGCCAGGGCTTTGTCAAGCCTGACCTTAAAAACCTCTAAGGAAGGAGATTCTACCACCTCCCTAGGTAACGCATTCCAGTGTTTCACCACCCTCTTAGTGAAAAAGTTTTTCCTAATATCCAATCTAAACCTCCCCCACTGCAGCTTGAGACCATTACTCCTCGTTCTGTCATCTGCTACCATTGAGAACAGTCTAGAGCCATCCTCTTTGGAACCCCCTTTCAGGTAGTTGAAAGCAGCTATCAAATCCCCCCTCATTCTTCTCTTCCGCAGGCTAAACAATCCCAGCTCCCTCAGCCTCTCCTCATAAGTCATGTGTTCCAGACCCCTAATCATTTTTGTTGCCCTTCGCTGGACTCTCTCCAATTTATCCACATCCTTCTTGAAGTGTGGGGCCCAAAACTGGACACAGTACTCCAGATGAGGCCTCACCAATGTCGAATAGAGGGGAACGATCACGTCCCTCGATCTGCTCGCTATGCCCCTACTTATACATCCCAAAATGCCATTGGCCTTCTTGGCAACAAGGGCACACTGCTGACTCATATCCAGCTTCTCGTCCACTGTCACCCCTAGGTCCTTTTCCGCAGAACTGCTGCCTAGCCATTCGGTCCCTAGTCTGTAGCTGTGCATTGGGTTCTTCCGTCCTAAGTGCAGGACCCTGCATTTATCCTTATTGAACCTCATCAGATTTCTTTTGGCCCAATCCTCCAATTTGTCTAGGTCCTTCTGTATCCTATCCCTCCCCTCCAGCATATCTACCACTCCTCCCAGTTTAGTATCATCCGCAAATTTGCTGAGAGTGCAATCCACACCATCCTCCAGATCATTTATGAAGATATTGAACAAAACCGGCCCCAGGACCAACCCTTGGGGCACTCCACTTGATACCGGCTGCCAACTAGACATGGAGCCATTGATCACTACCCATTGAGCCCGACAATCTAGCCAGCTTTCTACCCACCTTATAGTGCAAATTCAAGGGGAAATTATAATTCAGAGGGAAAGCCAATAGAAAATGCAGCAATGACAAAAGTGTTAAATACCTTTTTTGTTCCAGTTTTCACCGAAGAAGTTAGCAGTGGCTGGACAACTAACAGAGTGAACATCTGTGTAAATGGAATAGGATCTGAGGCTCAAATAGGAAAAGAACAAGTTAAGAATTACTTAGATGTCTGCAAATCAGCAGGGCCTGATGAAATACATCCTAGAAGGAACTGGCTGAAGCGATCTCTGAACCATTAGCGATTATTTTTGAAAACTTGTGGAGGACAGGAGCAATCCCAGAGGACTGGAAAAGGGCAAATATAGTACCTATCTATAAAAAGGGGAATAAGGACAGCCCAGGGAATTATAGACCTGTCAGTTTAACTTCAGTACCTGAATTCAGATAATCAATTTGAATAAGATAAGAGTCAACATGGATTTTTCAAGAACAAATCAAGTCAAACAAACCTAATATCCTTCTCTGACGGGATAACAAGCCTTGTGGATAGGGGGAAAGCAGTAGATGGTGATGTATGTCAACTTTAGTAAGGCT